CAGGAGTACGGAGAGGAGGGAGAGCTGATGCTGGTGTGCGCGTGTGTCTGTGTGGGCGGGATGGACTGTTCCTCTTCCCTCCCCCCCCCAACAACAAAAAAAACGAGACGGGTATCTAGACTTTGTTGTTGTTCGGGGAGGGGGGCGGGAAGAGGAAACATCCACACATACACACACATTCCACCCACCCACACACACAGACTCCACACACACGGACACACACACACACAAACACACACACACACACACACAAACACACACACACACAAACACACACACACAAACACACACGCACAGCACACACACACACATCCACCCACACACACACACACATCCACCCACCCACCCACCCACCCACCCACCCACCCACCCACCCACTCACCCACCCACCACGCACACATAGACACACACACTTACACACACACACACACACGAACAGAACTCAGAGAGAAGAAGAAAGCAAAGCAAAGTGGCAAACTTATTCAACTGATCGCATACTCCACAATCCCCTGTCCCCCTGGCTCCAGGGATCCGAGCAGCATGCTGGTGAGGACCAGCGTTTCTGCTTCAGGAGTGGCGCCTTCCACGAACAGCGGACGGCTGCGCAAACGGACCGAACTTGGCAGCGTGAGGCAGCCAGAGCGGCTCGGTCCAGGGGACAAGTTGTGCTGTAGTGTCGGGTTTTCTCGGCAGCTCCCCCCTCTGGGTTTTGTACTTGGCAGCCTGGCTACGAGATGACCGCGTGCTGTGCACGCATTACACTCCTCCCTCCTCCCTGTTGTCTCTCTCTCTCTCTCTATCCTGTCCCCCCTCTTCCCCCCGTCCGTCTCCGCCAGATGAGGGGACGGGGTTGACGAAGAGGGCAGGACGAGAGGAGAGGCAACAGATCTCCCTCCGTCGACTTCCTTCTGGGACTGTGCCTGTCAGCTGCAGTCGCCGTCCTTCTCTTGCGGCCGGCTTCGCAGGCTTGGGCAGCGCGCGTCGTCGAGGAGGCGGCCGAAGAGGACTCGGACGACGAAGACGAGGCAGCCGTTGCTCTTGTCGGTGGTGCCGTCCTCTCCCCCGTCCTCATCGAGCTTCCCTGCCACCCTCCACCAGTGCCAAGCTTTCGCGTTACTCCTCGCCGATGAGAAAGGTGATGGAGTGCACGAGCAGGGTGAAGAGAAGAAGCATGGGAAGGATGAGGAGGACGGCAAAGAGCGACAAGGGGGGGAACATAGATTTGTTGGAGGTGAAGGAGAAGGGTCCTGTGGTGCCACCCCCCTCCGCTCCACTGCCCCCCGACTCCCCCGTTTCCTCGCCTTCCCCTCGCCTTCTTCCTTCCCATGCAGAATCACTACACAAGATTATTGCTACTCTCCTTGCTCCCTTGATGCAGTGTTGTGCGAAGTCGCTCCCCCCCTCCCGCTTTTTCCCGGAAAGGGCTCGAGCCCAGGGTTCTCTTTTAGTAGGTAAACCTGTCCCCCGGTGCCTGCTTGAAGGAGGCCGGCGAATTGCCGGCGAATTTTTTCCCTGATAAATAACGAGGTCGAAGGAGGCCGGCGAATTGCCGGCGAATTAAAATTTGAGGATGTCTCGAGCGAAACGCTTGTTTTTCAGTTTTTCAGAAAATGGTGAGGATGTCTCGAGCGAAACGCTTGTTTTTTTTGTGTTATAGATTGTCCTCTTTGGGGACCTGATTCTGAGGACACCTCCCGCACGACCACACCCCCAGCACGACCACCCCCCCAGCACGACCACGCCCCAGCACGACCACACCCCAGCACGTCCCCAGCACGACCACACCACGACCCCCCCCACCCCAACCCACGAACACACCCCAGCCACAGATCACACCCCAGAACGACCACACCAGCACGACCCCACCCCAGCACGACCCACCCCAGCACGACACACCCCAGCACGACCACACCCCGCAGGGACCCCACCCCAGCACGACCCCACCCCAGCACGGCCCCACCCCAGCAAGACCACACCCCAGCACGACCACACCCCAGCACGACCTCACCACAGCATGACCACACGTCAGCACGACCACGCCCAGCACGACCACGCCCCAGCACGACCACACCCCAGCACGAACACACCTCAGCACGACCACACCCCAGCACGACCACACCCCAGCACGATTTTTCCCGGAAAGGGCCTGGGCCCAGGGTTCTCTTTTAGTTGGTAAACCTAATCCCCCGGTGCCTGCTTGAAGGCGGCCGGCGAATTGCCGGCGAATTTTTTCCCTGATAAATAACGAGGTCGAAGGAGGCCGGCGGATTAAAATTTGAGGATGTCTCAGGCGAAACGCCCCTTTTTGAAATCCCGATCGATAAATCACAGGGTGCGGGACACCTCAGCACGACCACACCTTCAGCATGACCACACCCCAGCACGACCACGCCCAGCACGACCACACCCAGCACGACCACACCCCAGCACGACCACACCCCAGCACGACCACACCCCAACACGACCACACCCCACCACGATCACACCCCACCACGACCACACCCCAGCACGACCCGATCGATGAATCACAGGGTGCGGACCACCCCAGCACGACCACACCCCAGCACGACCACACCCCAGCACGACCACACCCCAGCACGACCACGCCCCAGCACGACCACGCCCCAGCACGACCACACCCCAGCACGACCCCAACCCCAGCCGACCCACCCCAGCACGACCCCCACCCCACGAGCACGACCACACCCCAGCACGACCCCACCCCAGCACGACCCCACCCACAGCACGACCACACCCCAGCACGACCACACCCCAGCACGACCCACCCCAGCACGACCCCACCCTAGCAAGACCACACCCCAGCACGACCACACCCCAGCACGACCTCACCACAGCACGACCACACCCCAGCACGACCACGCCCCAGCACGACCACGCCCCAGCACGACCACGCCCCAGCACGACCACGCCCCAGCACAACCACCCCCCAGCACGACCACCCCCCCCGCACGACCACGCCCCAGCACGACCACCCCCCAGCACGACCACACCCCAGCACGACCACTCCCCAGCACGACCACACCGCCTTGGTTGAGTGGTTGCCTGTCGTCGTGGAATGTTTCGTGGGGTGTCTCGTGGAATGTTTCGCGGGGTGTCTCGTGGAATGTTTCGTGAGGTGTCTCGCGGAATGTTTCGTGAGGTGTCTCGTGGGATGTTTCGTGAGGTGTCTCGTGGGATGTTTCGTGAGGTGTTGCCCCGTTGGGTATCGTGAAAACGTGCCCATGCTCCACATGTCTATATCCCTTTCCGGGTTCGTGGGTCCATCATGTTCCCGGAAAGGGCATGAGCCCAGGGTTCTCTTTTAGTTGGTAAACCTGTCCCCCGGTGCCAACTTGAAGGAGGCCGGCGAATTTTTTCCCTGATAAATAACGAGGTCGAAGGAGGCCGGCGAATTAAAATTTGAGGATGTCTCGAGCGAAACGCTTGTTTTTGAAATCCCGATCGATAAATCACAGGGTGCGGGCCACTTTTTCGTGTGTTGAGGATGTCTCGAGCGAAACGCTTGCTCCGCAGAGTTTGCCGAGGATGTCTCGAGCGAAACGCTTGTTTTGCAGAGCCGACCGCGACGCGGAAAAGCGCCCCGCGCGAAGGAATTTCGATGATGTCTCGACTAATTCTTTGTTTTTGTACGATTTCCTGGAATTTTGGCAGGATGTCTCGAGCGAAATGCACGACCCCACCCTAGCACGACCATACCCCAGCACGACCACACCCCAGCACGACCAGACCCCAGCACGACCCCACCCCAGCACGACCCCACCCCAGCACGACCATACCCCAGCACGACCACACCCCAGCACGACCCACCCCAGCACGACCACACCCCAGCACGACCCGATCGATAAATCACAGGGTGCGGAGCACCCCAGCACGAACCCACCCCAGCACGACCCCACCCCAGCACGACCCCACCCCAGCACGACCACGCCCCAGCACGACCACCCCCAGCACGACCACGACCACACCCCAGCACGACCCCACCCCAGCACGACCCCACCCCAGACCCACACCCCAGCACGACCCCACCCCAGCATGACCACACCCCAGCACGACCCCACCCCAGCAAGACCACACCCCAGCACGACCACACCCCAGCACGACCTTACCACAGCATCGACCACCCAGCACGACCCCAACCCCAGCACGACCACCACGACCACCCCAGCACGACCACGCCCCAGCACGACCACGCCCCAGCACGACCACGCCCCAGCACGACCACCCCCCAGCACGACCACCCCCCAGCACGACCACCCCCCAGCACGACCACCCCCCAGCACGACCACACCCCAGCACGACCACTCCCCAGCACGACCACACCGCCTTGGTTGAGTGGTTGCCTGTCGTCGTGGAATGTTTCGTGGGGTGTCTCGTGGAATGTTTCGCGGGGTGTCTCGTGAAATGTTTCGTGAGGTGTCTCGTGGAATGTTTCGTGAGGTGTCTCGTGGGCTGTTTCGTGAGGTGTCTCGTGGGATGTTTCGTGAGGTGTTGCCCAGTTGGGTATCATGAAAACGTGTCCATGCTCCACATGTCTATATCCCTTTCCGGGTTCGTGGGTCCATCATGTTGTTCACGAGCGCAGGATTTAGAGCAGCCGTATTTCCTACGCGTTCTTGAGAACGGTCCGAACAGCACAGCACTCTCTCTGCAACGGTGGCCGCACTTCAGGATGGGCGTTGTGCTCCCGTTTACGTTTTTGGGGGCCTCCGCTCATCGACGGCCACACGGCCGACGCTCGCCGCGCGCGCCTGGCCCGCGGGCCCCCGCTGCGCCCCGCTGCGCCCCCGGAGACACGTGGGCGAGACGGAGCGCAGGGTGCGCCCCCGTCCCAGGTCGGGTCTTTCTCCGCCCTCTGGTAAGGAAGCCTGTGATACGCGCCGGTCGTTGAAAGCAGGCGCCCTCCTATTTCAAGAGCTGTTGTGTTCTGGCTGTGCGTTGGCTATTCTCTGGGAGGGCCCGAGGCCAATTTAGTTTATATCCGCCTGCCCACTTCTTGCCTCTGCCTGCTTCTCTTCGACGAGCCCGAGCTCCCAGCCCACGCCGAGCTGCCCGCCCCCGCGCGAGCCCAGGCGGGGGGGGGCGCCCGCGTTTGAGAAGAGTCGCTCCCACCCCCCAGCCCGAGCGAGGCAGCCGGGTGATTCTAGGCCTTCTACATGGGGTCGGAGTTGGGAGGTTTCTCTGGAGGGCTTAGGCGACCCGTCCTCCTCCCTCCTCCTCCTCCTCCTCCTCCTCCTCCTCCTCCTCCTCCTCCTCCTCCTCCTCCTCCCCCTCCTCCTACACGTAAGGAGAGACTTTCCCTCGGCGACGCTCCGCCTCCTCAAAAAAAACACGTAAGGAGAGACTTTCCCTCGGCGACGCCGCCTCCTCCCCCTCCTCCTCCTCCTCCCGCCCCCTCCTCCTCCTCCTCCTCCTCCTTTCCTCCTCCTCCCTCTCTCCTCCTCCTTTCCTCCCTCCTCCTCCTCCTCCTCCTCCTCCTCCTCCTCCTCCTCCTCCTCCTCCTCCTCCTCCTCCTCCTCCTCCCCCTCCTCGCCCTCCTCCTCCTCCTCGGGTCGCCTACGGCCCTGGGGGAAACCGTCCAGTCGGAGTAGATAAGGTCGGAGGATCGCGCCGCATCGCCGATGCATCGCCGATGCGGCTCGATGTGGAGCCAGTGTTTCCCCGCACAGACGTCGCTCGTGCATCGCAGGCGCATTGGCGATACGGAGCGATCCTCCGACCCCATCCAGGGGGCCTCTGGTGATGGCCCCGCGCGCGCGGCCAGCGGAAGAGCGGACGACGGCAAGGGAACGAGACAAAGTGAAAGGGTCGCAAGGCAAACATGAGACATCAAGGTAGTTGAGCAATCATCGCGACATGCGACACTAGCTATCCCTAACAATCCCCCTCAACCAAGCAGCGTGCGCAGGGCGTGTTCTTCGTAAACGCGTAAGGGTCCCACGGCAAGCGAGCAAGACACAGAAAAAAGGATAATGCTAGGACAAGATAGGCAGGGGCACATGCACATCGGAACACCCCCAAGGCCACTTTCTGGAGGGCATAACCAGGGGGATAACATATTCGACAAGGGGCCGCATCACCACTGTGAGACAGGATATTGCATGCAAAACGGATGGGGGGGGGGGCGCATCGTCCCTGTGAGGCATGGTTAAGGACGCAGGCGAACCCAGGTGAGGACAGTTGACTGGTGCGGGCACAAGGGGCCGCATCACCGTTGCGAGGCAGGATCATGCACTAAGAGAGAGCGCAATGCGTGGCATCAGCACTGAGAGGCAGGATTTAACATGCACGCAGACCAAGGCCCAGCGTCCCAGCGCACGCCCCCGTGGCATTGAGCGCGTCACAGCGCGCGCTACACGTCTGGATCCGACTCGTTCCTCGTCGTTGCCGTACCCCTCGTTTGCCCTCCGCTTTCCCCTCGTCCTCCTGCTCCTCATCAGGTTTCCATTGGTCCTCCCCTGGGTCGGGTGGGGATTCGGACTGAGTTGCCACCGCCCTGGCTTTGCAGCCTCTCAAGCGCCCAGGGCGGTGCATCCATTCCCCTTGATCAGGGCTCGGTGTTTGATCCGGCCCTGCGGCCGCCGCTGCGGCCGTCTTCCTTTTGGCGCCGTCCGAGTGACCCACCTGGACGCTCGCTCAGTTGCTCGCCCCTGCTACTGCTGCTGCCGGTGCTCTGCTTCCGCCTCCTTCCTCATCATCTTGCTCCTCCCCCTGCTCCTCCGCCACCTCCCCCTCGTCGTCCATGTGCAGAGCCCCCCGTCCGAGTTGCGCAGCACACGACGGGGTCACTTTGCGGATCAAGGTGCCGGCGGATGCAGACACGTTCAGCGCAACGGGAAGAGATGGGTGGGATGGGCAGGATGTAAGATATGGCGCATTCGAGCCTAGCTTGTTCTGCCCCCCCCCTCCCCTCTCCCTCCCTCATCTTCCCCCTCCCTCTCCTTATCGCCCTCCCCCTTTGCCCACTCCTTTCCTCCCTCGCTCTCTCTCACTCTCTCTCTCTCCTCTCATCTCTTCATGCTCGCCCCCGTCCTTTGTCTAAAACTTGAAGCGGCCGCTGTGGGAGTAGCACTCGACGACGCAACTTCGACGACTACCTACTAGGCTGCCGAGACGAATGCAACGACCTTCGTTTCAGCATGTGCAAGGCCCACGCTTTCATTCGCCTGTCTCGAGCGGCGTGGCATTGATTTCCGCAGTACCCCCTCGAGTCCCTCGGCCTCGCTTCGCATCCCCCCATCTCTTACCATCCGCGACGCAGCAGTATGCCTCCGCGTGTATCGGATTCTAGACTACCGAAAGAAGTTTGAGGTGGGCCCCAACCCTTGTCCCCCGAGGGGCTCAGATCCCTCTACCACAGCATTGCCGAGGAGCCTAGTGTGCCCAAGCGGCTGACTGCGTCCCCCTTTCCTCCTCCTCTTCCTCCTCCTCCTCCTCCTCCTCCTCCTCCTCTTCCTCCTGTGGCCGACCTGCTCATCGTCGAGGTCGAACGAGTGCTGTGGAGACCCCGTCTCGTCAGGTTGGAAGCTATTCCTTGAGTGTTCGCCGTGGGAGTCGTCCTTGGCTTTATACCCGAAGCTGGCCGAGAAAGGTCGCTCTCGCCGCCCTCCCTGCAGCAGACTGGATCCTGTTCGGGCTCGGCGGTGATCGGGTCGTACAGGCCTGTAGTCAGACTGACCCCATCTGAACCTCAGCCTCCTCCCCACTCACGCCTCCTACTCTGGCCTCCTGTTCTCCAGCCTTCCTCGCCTTTCCCGCCCCACCATCGTCACGGCCCCTTCCTTCTCCCCCCGCCATCATCTGATCCTTGTCCTCCTATTTCCCGGAAAGGGCTCGAGCCCAGGGTTCTCTTTTAGTAGGTAAACCTGTCCCCCGGTGCCTGCTTGAAGGAGGCCGGCGAATTGCCGGCGAATTTTTTCCCTGATAAATAACGAGGTCGAAGGAGGCCGGCGAATTGCCGGCGAATTAAAATTTGAGGATGTCTCGAGCGAAACGCTTGTTTTTCAGAAAATGGTGAGGATGTCTCGAGCGAAACGCTTGTTTTGTGTTATAGATTGTCCTCTCCTGGGGACCTGAATTCTGAGGACCACCTCCCAGCACGACCACCCCCCCAGCACGACCACCCCCCAGCACGACCACCCCCCAGCACGACCACACCCCAGCACGACCACACCCCAGCACGACCACACCCCAGCACGACCCCACCCCAGCACGACCCCACCCTAGCACGACCACACCCCAGCACGATCACACCCCAGAACGACCACACCCCAGCACGACCCCACCCCAGCACGACCCCACCCCAGCACGACCACACCCCAGCACGACCACACCCCAGCAGGACCCCACCCCAGCACGACCCCACCCCAGCACGGCCCCACTCCAGCAAGACCACACCCCAGCACGACCACACCCCAGCACGACCTCACCACAGCACGACCACACCCCAGCACGATCACGCCCCAGCACGACCACGCCCCAGCACGACCACTCCCCAGCACGACCACCTCCCAGCACGACCACCCAGCACGACCACACCCCAGCACGATCACACCCCAGACCGACCACCCCAGCACGACCCCACCCAAGCACGACCCCACCCCAGCACGACCACACCCCAGCACGACCACACCCAGCAGGACCCACCCAGCACGACCCCACCCCAGCACGGCCCCACCCCAGCAAGACCACACCCCAGCACGACCACACCAGCACGACTCACCACAGCACGACCACTCCCCAGCACACTCACGCCCCAGCACGACCAGCCCCAGCACGCCCCAGACACAGCCCCAGCACGACCACCCCCAGCACGACCACCCCCAGCACGACCACACCACACCCCACAGCACGACCACACCCCAGCACGACCACCCCAGCACGACCCCGCCCCAGCACGACCACGCCCCAGCACGACCACCCCCCAGCACGACCACCCCCCCAGCACGACCACACCCCAGCACGACCACACCCCAGCACGACCACACCCAGTCGCACCCCCGTGGAATGTTTCGTGGGGTGTCTCGTGGAATGTTTCGTGGGGTGTCTCGTGGAATGTTTCGTGGGGTGTCTCGTGGAATGTTTCGCGGGGTGTCTCGTGGAACGTTTCGCGAGGTGTCTCGTGGAATGTTTCGCGAGGTGTCTCGTGGGATGTTTCGCGGGGTGTCTCGTGGGATGTTTTGTGAGATGTCGCCCAGTTGGGTATCGTGAAAACGTGACCATGCTGCGCATGTCTATATCCCTTTCCGGGTTCGTGGGTCCATCATGTTTTCCTCCCCGCACAGCTCTTCCCCGTGTCTCATTCTCTTCCCCTCCCAACAGAAAAAAACAGAGAAAACCCAATCATTCCCCAATCAGTGCTTGCACTGAACGGGTCCTAGCGGAAGTTGAAGGATTTGGCGAAAGCTCCCCGCCGATTTAGGTGGCAGGCTGGGTTCCCCGGTTCCCGGTTCCGGGTTCCCGGGTTCCCGGTTCCGGGCCGAGTTCGGAGGGCGGCGAGGTTCTCAGGTTCCCGGGTTCTTGGCCGATTTTCTGATCGATCGGTCTCACCATCGATCTCATTACCGATTTCTCGATCAATCTCACCGTCGATCTCACAATCGACCTCACTATCAATCTCACAAGCGATCTCACTAGAGATCGCATGAGCGATCTCGCGATTGATCTCATTACCGATCTCATTGAATCGATTTCACTCTCGGCCTCACGATCGACCTTACAATCGTCTTCACTATCGAATACATCACCGATCTCATTATCGATCTCACAATCGATCTCAAGATCCATAATATCAATTTTCAAATCATCCACTGATTTGGGTTTCTCGGGTGTAATAATATTTTTAGGTATATGGGGCTATAGGGGTACAGGGATATAGGGCTATAAGGCTATGGGGCTATAGGGCTATAAGGCTATAGGGCTAGAGGGCTAGAGGGCTAGAGGGCTAGAAGGCTATAGGGCTATAGGGCTATAGAGCTATAGGGCTATAGGGCTATAGGGCTATAGGGCTATAACGCTAAAGGGTTATAAGGCTATAGGGCTATTGGGCTACAGGGTTATAGGGCTATAGGGCTATAGGGCTATAGGGCTATAGGGCTATAGGGCTATAGGGCTATAAGGCTATAGGGCTATAGGGCTGTAGGGCTACCGGGCACCTGGGCACCCGGGCACCCGGGCACCCAGGCACCCGGGCACCCCGGCACTTGGGCACCCGGGCGTGCCGCCGAAGTCGGCGCCATTCCTCACCTAATCATATGAATCCGCTAGGACACCTACAGAGGCAAGCTCTGGTTGGGGGAAATATTGAGAACGTCCCGCGCGAAACGCTGGTATTTGAAATTCCGATAGATAAGACACAGGGTCAAGTTGCATTTTCGTTTGTTGTGGATGTCTCGACATGTCTCGACCGAAACGCTTGTGTTGCAGAATGTGCTGAGGATTTCTCGAGCGAAGCGTTTGTTTTGTGTTTTAGATCGCTCCTCTCCTGGGGACCAGAATTCAGAGGATGTCTCAGGTGTGAATTGCTGGTTTTCACGTGCCCTGGTCTTGAGGATGTCTCGTGCGAGACGCTTGGGTTCACGCCTCCAGGTTGCCCAGGCAGATGTCTAACATCAGGATTTGTTGAGGATGTTTCGAGCGAGACGCTTGTGGTCACGCGTCCAGGTCGTCCAGGCAGATGTCTAGCATCAGGATTGTTTGAGGATATTTCGAGCGAGACGCTTGTTTTCACGCGTCCAGGTCGTCCAGGCAGATGTCTAGCATGAGGATATGTTGAGGATTTCTCGAGAGAGACGCTTGTTTTCGCGTGTCCAGGTCGCCCAGGCGTATGTCTAGCATGAGGATATGTTGAGGATGTCTCGAGAGAGACGCTTGTTTTCGCGTGTCCAGGTCGCCCAGGCGGATGTCTAGCATGAGGATGTGTTGAGGATCTGTTGAGCGAAGCTCTTGTTTTCACTGGTTTTCACGTGTCCAGGCCGCTCAGGCGGATGTCTAGCATGAGGATGTCTTGAAGATGCCTCTCGAGAGACGCTTGTTTTCCAGTGTCCAGGTCGCCCAGGCGGATGCCTAGCATGAGGATGTGCTGAAAAGGTCTCGAGCGACATGCTTGTTTGTTTTCACGTGTCCAGGCCGTTCAGGCAGATGTCTAGCATAAGGAGGTGTTAAGGAGGTGTTGAGAACGTCTCGAGCGAGACGCTTGGTTTCACGTGTCCAGGTCGCCCAGGCGGATGTCTAACATGAGGATTTGTTGAAGATGTCTCGAGCGAAACGCTTGCAACCACCCCCGCCCGTCCGTGGGGCGTTCCCTGACGCCCTGGCGCGCCCCCTGGCGCGTCCCTGGCGACGTTCAGGCGTGACGTGCCCTGGCACGTCCCCTAGCACGCCACTCGGCGTGACACGTTCCCTGGCTCGTCTTCTGTCGCGTTTCCTTGCTCGTGCCTAGGCGTTTCTTCTGCACGTCCAGGGCACGTCCCGTGATGCGTCCCCTGACACGTCCCTTGGCGCATCCCCTATTGCGACCCTGGCACATCCTGTGGCGCGTCCGTGAGCCTGTGCCCAGTGTCAAGTTGTTCCTTTTCGGAGCTGAGTCGGATTTTGAGGTCGCGTTGATTGAACGTCCTCCACTTTTCCACTTCAACTAGCTCTGGGGCGGCTGGGCGGCTACTATGTGCTCAGGCAGCTCGAGCTTAAGGTCCAGATCAGTTCGGACAGGACTCGAATGCCAAGGAACACTCTATCCACAACGCTATAGGTCACAATCGCGGCAATGCGCATCGCAGTTCAGCACGGCATAGCACAGCACAGCCCTGGCCACGGTACACCAAGATCGATAGTTTCAGCATTGCAATTGCCAGTCGCACAATAAGGTATCTTGACAACGTTGCCATGCTTCACATTTCCATATCCCTTCCCGTGTTTGTGGGTCGGTCATGTTGGAAATGAATGCGCGCGGCCCACCCTCCATCCGTGAAGCTTCTGCAATGTTGGGGTGCTCCAGGGCCGTCTTAGAGGCCATCGTGGGCGTCTTGGAGGCCTCTTGGGTCGTCTTTGTGCTCTCTTGGGGCCGTCTTAGGGGCCTCTTTGAGCAGTCCTGAAGCCTTCCTGGAGGCCTCTTGGGCGCTGTGGGGGCGATCTTGGGGGCCTCTTGGGCCGTCTTGGGTCGTCGGAAAGCCGAAAAGGAGCAAATACGAGAAACCTTCGAATACCTAACGAAAATCAATGATTTTTGCCTCTTCGGGCCCTCCTGGAGGACCTTTCGGAGGCCTCTTGGGCCGTCTTGGAGGCCTCTTGGGCACCTCTTGGGCCGTCTTGGGCCGTCTTGGAGGTTTCTTTGGCGGACTTGGAGGCATCTCCTCTTCTCTTGGGCGGACTTGGAGGCCATCTTGGACCATCTTGGAGGCTATCTTGGGCCAACGTGGCCATCTTGGATGCCATCTTGAGTCGTCTTCGAGGATGTTTTCCGGGATTGAGCTCCTGGGCAATCCTCCCAGGACCCCGGCGGGACGCGCCGGAGCCCCAGGGGGAGTTCTTCTGTAAAAGATTCCAAACCAAAACCGAAATCATCTAGCACGCCAGGCACCCTTGAGATTAATCAACAGGGGGCGGCGGATTGTTCTGTCCAGTCGCCTGCGGCAGGTCCCGCCACCGTGCCAGTCCAGCATTCGTGTGTGGCGACTCCTCGAGGAACGCACGGGGTGCCGTAACATGTGGCACCTCTTGCCCCGAGGTTTGGAAACGCAGTGGCGCCTGGTCGTGCTGTCGTGCCTCTCCTCGTGCTCGTCGTCGTTGTCCTCCTCATCCCTCCGCCTCTCCAGGGGCCTTCGTTGTGGGCTTCTCCTCCTCCTCCTCCTCGTCCTCCTCCTCCTCCTCCTTCTCCTCCTCCTCCTCCTCCTCCTCCTCCCCCTCCCCCTCCTCCTCCCTCTGGTGGAGGCCTCTTGGGGACGTCTTGGAGGCCTCTCGGGGCCTCGAGCCTCCCGCGTCCGTCTTGAGGGCCTCTCCGATGCCGTTTTCGGCGCCGTCCTCTGGCCCCAAGAGGGTCGTCTCGCGGGTCTCGTGCGCCGTCGTGGGATCTTCTTGGTTTGCTTGGCACTTGTCTTGGGGGGTTCTTGGGCAGTTCTGACTCTTGGGCCGTCTTGGGGTGATCCCGGGGACCTCTTGGGCCATCTCGGGATGACTGACGCCTGGAGAGGCAAAAGCGCCAAGACCATTCCACAACTACTGAGAATCAGTGGATATGTAATTTTTCCCGGAAAGGGCTTTGGCCCAGGGTTCTCTTTTACTAGGTAAACCTGTCCCCCGGTGCCTGCTTGAAGGAGGCCGGCGAATTGCCGGCGAATTTTTTCCCTGATAAATAACGAGGTTGAAGGAGGCCGGCGAATTGCCGGCGAATTAAAATTTGAGGATGTCTCGAGCGAAACGCTTGTTTTTCAGAATTTGTCGAGGATGTCTCGAGCGAAACGCTTGATTTTCAGAATTTGTTTTTTCCACCCCCCAGCACGACACCCCAGCACGACCACACCCCAGCAGGACCCCAGCACGACCACACCCCAGCACGACCACACCCCAGCACGACCACACCCCAGCACGACCCACCCCAGCACGACCCCCAGCACGACCACACCCCAGCACGACCACACCCCAGCACGACCTCCAGCACGACCACGCCCCCAGCACGACCACGCCCCAGCACGACCACCCCCCAGCACGACCACACCCAGCACGAGCACCCCCACACACACGCCCCAGCACGACCACACCCCAGCACGACCACTCCCCAGCACGACCACACCCCAGCACGACCACACCCCAGCACGACCACACCCCAGCACGACCACACCCCAGCACGACCACACCCCAGCACGACCCCACCCCAGCACGACCCCACCCCAGCACGACCCCACCCTAGCAAGACCACACCCCAGCACGACCACACCCCAGCACGACCTCACCACAGCACGACCACACCCCAGCACGACCACGCCCCAGCACGACCACGCCCCAGCACGACCACGCCCCAGCACGACCACCCCCCAGCACGACCACCCCCCCAGCACGACCACCCCCCAGCACGACCACCCCCCAGCACGACCACACCCCAGCACGACCACTCCCCAGCACGACCACACCGCCTTGGTTGAGTGGTTGCCTGTCGTCGTGGAATGTTTCGTGGGGTGTCTCGTGGAATGTTTCGCGGGGTGTCTCCTGGAATGTTTCGTGAGGTGTCTCGCGGAATGTTTCGTGAGGTGTCTCGTGGGATGTTTCGTGAGGTGTCTCGTGGGATGTTTCGTGAGGTGTTGCCCCGTTGGGTATCGTGAAAACGTGCCCATGCTCCACATGTCTATATCCCTTTCCGGGTTCGTGGGTCCATCATGTTCGGGCCTCCCTTGAGGTCATGGGGCCTCCAGGGCCGCCTCGGGGCAATTTTGGGCCCTCTTGGGGCTGTCTGGGGTCGTCTTTGAGGCATCTTCGGCCTCGTTGGCGGCCTGGATGGCTTCCCTTGATGGGCTTGTTTTCCACCACCACCACCACCACCATCAGTTGGAGGGGGAAGGAGGAGGACGAAGAGGAGGAGGACGAGGAGGAGGAGGAGGAGGAGGAGGAGGAGGACCCCCTCCCCCTCCAATTTATGGTGGCGGCGGTGGAAAACAAGCCCATCACCGCTTGGCCGTCTTGGGAGCCGTCTTGGATGCCTCGGAGAGCGCCAGAGAGACCCCGGGGCGCCCGGGAGCCCTCGACTGGGGGGGGCGGTGCGTGCAGCGGGGCGCACTTGGAGTGCAATTAGGAAGAAGGCCCGACCAGAGCTCTTGACTCAGGAGGGAAAAAACACACGCACACAGAGACACACTTAATCGTCGATTCCCCAGAAAACATTAGAAAATATGGGAAGTGGAGGGGAAGACGAAAACGCCGAGAATATGGGAAAATATGGGGAATCCTGTTATTGTTGTGTATTTATTTGTGTGTCCCAGGGCCCCTGCATTGACATGGTGTCACGCCTCGACGTGCCAGCGAGCGCTCAAAAAAACGGCACAAATATAAACGTTTGGCGCTCCGCGCGGATTTCTTGGATCCGCGCTGGGCCCCCCGGCGCGCTCCGCGCACCAGGGAGGGGAGTCCAGCGCGGATCCAAGAAATCCGCGCGGAGCGCCAACAGCTTTATGTTTATGCAGTTGTTTCTCCCTCCAAGCACGGTTGCGGATTATGGGCCAAGCGTTGATGCGAATTTTGTGAAGCTCGGGCTTTACGCTGAAGGGCACAGTGGTGGGAGTGCGCTGGCGATTGCTGGCAACGGTGGCATGAAGGGAGCCCAACAGTTTGTAGATGTCTGTAGTGCGGCAAGAAGGTGGCGCTTGGGTAGTTGAGGAACGTTACTCCACAGACTACGCACTTCCACGAATGCAGGAGACGCAGGACCTGACGTTGATCTTCGCCAGCGAGGATAACGGCGGGACTGCATGGGGGCTGCTGCTGCCTTTGATCTCCTGCGGTGGTGTAGACAGGTATCCCGCTGAAGGTGTGAACCGCTGGATGCATTGAGCACTGGGGTAGTTCCCACAGTTTTGCATATCACAGCAATCAGCGTGGCCAGTTTCATGCCAACTTATTGTCGGGGCCTCCGACGCTGCCAGGTTTGAGCGGCCTGGAGGAAGTGGACGTGTTGATGGCTGCCAGATGTCGACGTGGTGCTCGGGCAGGGAGGCACTGATCCTACGATCCCATACGTTTGCGGTATATTAGACCTCGCACAACTTCTGCCTGCCGACAAGAGTGTCGCCCATAAGCACCATGCTGTTAAGTTTGCGCCGAAGTTGTCCGCGAGCAGCAAGCAGTATGTCCATAACATCATCGTGTATGGATGTGACAATGCTGCCTCATACGGTATATCTTCATCGCACAATCAGGTGATGGGTGAATGCGAGAGATCATGCCACGAGGTTGCGACGCAATGAAATGGCCCTGGGCTGTTGGGAGCGACGACGTTGTATTCCCTGAAAATGTGGTCATGCCGTTTGGCGAGAATGTGCTCTGGATGGCATTGCAGGTGCACTACTGCAATCCACTATTGGACGCAGGCGTCAAGGACATCAGTGGCGTCATGATGATTTTTCCCGGAAAGGGCATGGGCCCAGGGTTCTCTTTTAGTAGGTAAACCTGTCCCCCGGTGCCAACTTGAGGGAGGCCGGCGAATTTTTTCCCTGATAAATAACGAGGTCGAAGGAGGCCGGCGAATTAAAATTTGAGGATGTCTCGAGCGAAACGCTTGTTTTTGAAATCCCGATCGATAAATCACAGGGTGCGGGCCACTTTTTCGTGTGTTGAGGATGTCTCGAGCGAAACGCTTGCTCCGCAGAGTTTGCCGAGGATGTCTCGAGCGAAACGCTTGTTTTGCAGAGCCGACCGCGACGCGGAAAAGCGCCCCGCGCGAAGGAATTTCGATGATGTCTCGACTAATTCCTTTGTTTTTGTACGATTTCCTGGAATTTTGGCAGGATGTCTCGAGCGAAATGCACGACCCCACCCTAGCACGACCATACCCCAGCACGACCACACCCCAGCACGACCAGACCCCAGCACGACCCCACCCCAGCACGACCCCACCCCAGCACGACCATACCCCAGCACGACCACACCCCAGCACGACCCGACCCCAGCACGACCCTACCCCAGCAAGACCACACCCCAGCACGACCACACCCCAGCACGACCTCACCACAGCACGACCACACCCCAGCACGACCACGCCCCAGCACGACCACGCCCCAGCACGACCACGCCCCAGCACGCACGACCACCCCCCAGCACGACCACCCCCCCGCACGACCACCCCCCAGCACGACCCCACCCCAGCACGACCCCAGCACGACCACACCCAGCACGACCACCCCAGCACGACCACACCCCAGCACGACCACACCCCAGCACGACCACACCCCAGCACGACCCGATCGATAAATCACAGGGTGCGGAGCACCCCAGCACGACCCACCCCAGCACGACCCCACCCCAGCACGACCCCACCCCAGCACGACCACGCCCCAGCACGACCACACCCCAGCACGACCACACCCCAGCACGACCACTCCCCAGCACGACCCCACCCCAGCACGACCCCACCCTAGCACGACCACACCCCAGCACGACCACACCCCAGCACGACCCCACCCCAGCACGATCACACCCCAGCACGACCCCACCCCAGCAAGACCACACCCCAGCACGACCGCACCCCAGCACGACCTTACCACAGCACGACCACACCCCAGCACGACCACGCCCCAGCACGACCACGCCCCAGCACGACCACGCCCCAGCACGACCACGCCCCAGCACGACCACGCCCCAGCACGACCACCCCCCAGCACGACCACCCCCCCAGCACGACCACCCCCCAGCACGACCACCCCCCAGCACGACCACACCCCAGCACGACCACTCCCCAGCACGACCACACCGCCTTGGTTGAGTGGTTGCCTGTCGTCGTGGAATGTTTCGTGGGGTGTCTCGTGGAATGTTTCGCGGGGTGTCTCGTGAAATGTTTCGTGAGGTGTCTCGTGGAATGTTTCGTGAGGTGTCTCGTGGGCTGTTTCGTGAGGTGTCTCGTGGGATGTTTCGTGAGGTGTTGCCCAGTTGGGTATCATGAAAACGTGTCCATGCTCCACATGTCTATATCCCTTTCCGGGTTCGTGGGTCCATCATGTTAGCGACACCCTTTGCACCCACGACGCTGCAGTCTGCGACCTCAACGGGGGCACCCACCCTTCGCACCGCGATCCTCTGCCATCTGGCCAGGAAGATATCATTATGAGCGCCACTGTGGTTCCAAAAGGGTGCACGAACATTTGGGACGTACCGAGTATCAACGTGTTGGGTGTGGTGTACCATGGCCATCTTGTTGGCAAGAGTTTCAACATTGATGTCGCCAGCAGCGTGGACGGAAGCTACCGTGGAACGCTCCGCCGCGAAAAGAGGTACGACTTCAACCACCAGAGCCTTGAGCCGAGGTTGCTGAAGACGATTTCTAGAAGGGACGAACTAACGTTCACATGTAAGTATGATACTTCCTCGAGGACGGAGCTCACTGCGTTCGGGGAGCTGACGCAGAACGGAACGTGCTGGTCTGCATTCACTTATTATCCTGCCCAGGCGATGACATCGACAATGACAAAGGGAGCTTCGCACATCTAGTTGCCTGCGGCAAACTCAGACATTATGCCAGCGCGGCGCGCTCTCTCGAACAAGGCCGTTAGAGCCATGTTAGAGCAGACACGCCGCGTTGTTATAGCTTGGCGTGGCCTTGGAGTTAGCATGCTCTTAGAGGCTTCTTGCGAGCCTCTCAGGGGATTTGTGGGGCTTTACCAGGGGCCTCACGGGGCTTTTCATCCAGGGACCTTGTTAGGTGCCTTGGGCCCGTGTTGGGCGCGATGGTTTTGATGACTTCTTTCGAACATGTTCGGTCGGACTACCTCGAGGCCGTGTGGTCGGGTTCTCGGGGCCGTATTGGAGGCCCCTTGGGGCGGTCACGCGCCGTTTTGGGGGGTTTTGTGGCCCTCTTGGGGCTCTCCTAGGGACGTTCTTGGGCCTTCTTGATTGATAACATACTAAGGGCCTTCTGGGGCCGTCTTCAGTTTTTCCATGCTTCGCTTCCCAGGGTTTTTCCCGGAAAGGGCATGAGCCCAGGGTTCTCTTTTAGTAGGTAAACCTGTCCCCCGGTGCCAACTTGAAGGAGGCCGGCGAATTTTTTCCCTGATAAATATCGAGGTCGAAGGAGGCCGGCGAATTAAAATTTGAGGATGTCTCGAGCGAAACGCTTGTTTTTGAAATCCCGATCGATAAATCACAGGGTGCGGGACACCTCAGCACGACCACACCTTCAGCATGACCACACATCAGCACGACCACGCCCAGCACGACCACGCCCCAGCACGACCACACCCCAGCACGAACACACCTCAGCACGACCACACCCCAGCACGACCACACCCCAGCACGACCACACCCCAGCACCAGCACGACCACACCCCAGCACGACCCGATCGATAAGTCACAGGGTGCGGACCACCCCAGCACGACCACACCCCAGCACGACCCCACTCCAGCACGACCCCACCCCAGCACGACCACGCCCCAGCACGACCACACCCCAACACGACCACACTTCAGCACGACCACACCCCAGCACGACCCCGACCCAGCACGACCCCACCCCAGCCCGACCACACCCCAGCACGACCACACCCCAGAACGACCACACCCCAGCCCGACCCCACCCAAGCACGACCCCACCCCAGCACGACCACACCCCAGCAGGACCACACCCCAGCACGACCACATCCCAGCAGGACCCCACCGCAGCAAGACCACACCCCAGCACGACCACACCCCAGCACGACCTCACCACAGCACGACCACACCCCAGCACGACCACGCCCCAGCACGACCACGCCCCAGCACCACCACGCCCCAGCACGTCCCCACCCCAGCACGACCACCCCCCCAGCACGACCACACCGCAGCACGACCACCCCCCAGCACGCCCACCCCCCAGCACGACCACTCCCCAGCACGAGCACACCGCCTTGGTTGAGTGGTTGCCTGTCGTCGTGGAATGTTTCGTGGGGTGTCTCGTGGAATGTTTCGCGGGGTGTCTCGTGGAATGTTTCGTGAGGTGTCTCGCGGAATGTTTCGTGAGGTGTCTCGTGGGATGTTTCGTGAGGTGTCTCGTGGGATGTTTCGTGAGGTGTTGCCCCGTTGGGTATCGTGAAAACGTGCCCATGCTCCACATGTCTATATCCCTTTCCGGGTTCGTGGGTCCATCATGTTGAATGATACAGGACTACGCGGGCGCAGCAGTTATGTTGATTCGCGGTGTCGAAGTTCCAAAAATGACGTTCTGGCACGGTTCCATATCGTCAGGACGCAGCAGTCAGGTTGATCCGTGGCGTGGAAATCCCGAGAACAATGTTTTGGCAGGCTTCAAGGTCTTCAAGCGGTCGTCTTCCAACGAGGCTGTTCCTTCAATGGAAAGAAACCGCTGTAAGGGCCTGCGAACAGGGAGTTTGGAGGGATGGTTACTTCCAACATCGTTGATGACTCTTGGGTTTACACTGGTCCTCCTTCTCCTCCTCCTCCTCCTTCTCCTCCTCCTCCTCCTTGCCGACCTCCTCCTCCTGGGCCAGAACCCGAGGGCTCCCGAGAACGGCTCCCCAAACAAGCTGCTCTTGAGTATTAATTCTCCTTTCAATTGAAGGCAAGCAGATAATCACGAACAGCTCGTTTGGGGCCGGGACGTGCCAGAGCCCAGCTGGGCTCTGGCACGTCTTGGCCCCAATTTCGGCCCCGTCCCCAGCCCTGGTGCGCCCTGTGCCGGCCCGGGCTCTGGCCCTGGCCTCGGCGGGAGGGGGCAGGGGCGCGAGGAGAGGAAGCGATGGGGGTGGGGGCGAGGGATGGTGATGGAGAGGGGGAGGGAGTGCGAGAGGACGGGGGAGCGAGGGGGGGGGGGGCAGAAGGGAGACGAGGGGGTGCGAGGGGAGAGGGGAGGAGAGTGAGCTGGGAAGAAGGTTGGGGCAACTTCCGCGGGCCTGGGACTTTGGACAGGATGGGGGCGATGAATGTAATGGTGATAGCGGTGATGGCAATCAAGAGGATGGCGATGGGGATGGCGATGAGGATGGGACTGGGGATGGGGATGGCGATGAGGATGATAATGAGAATGAGGACGAGGACGAGGATGAGGGTAAGCGTAAGGATGAGGATGAGGATGATGGTGATTGTGATGGTAATGGTGATGATGATGCTGCTGATGCTGATAGTAATGGCGATGAATGATGACTGATGGTGTGATGATGGTGGCGGTGGTGGTGATGATGATGATGATGATGATCGTGTGGCAGTGTGGTAGTATGATAGCATGGTAGTATGATGGTGCTGGTGATGCTGCTGAGGTTGAGCATGAGCATGAGGACCATGAGGATCATGAGGGTCATGAGGATCATGGGGATCATGAGGATTAGGATGAAGATGAGGGTCATCGTGATGATGATACTGGCTTCGACGAGGCGATCGCGCGATTTGAGGCGTCGCTCGGGTGCGGAAAAGTGTGGAGAGCATCGTTCGTCTCATCTGCCGCCCAGGCGAAGGAGGGGCGACGCGGGACTGGGCGACCGACTGCGTCAGGAACACGTGCCGCGTGGCCAGGCCGAACAACGCCACAGTCATGCCCGGCGTCACCTTCGGCACCGACGACGAGATCCAAAATTGCGCCCAGAAGGTTTGCGACAAGGTTTGAGTCGGGCATGTCCCTCTACAGGAGGAATATTCAAAAGCGGAAAAAATGTCAGGTGACGATTTTCATGTTCTTCGGACTAAGTTTGATTCTGTTTGACCACTTCTGATTTTTCCCGGAAACGGCGGGAACCCGTTTTTTCCCAGAAAGGGCCTGAGCCCAGGGTTCTCTTTTAGTTGGTTTCCCCCCGGTTTTGACGGCTGTAGGGCCGGCGAATTTCTTTTGCGATAAATAACGAGGTCGCGTAGGGCCGGCGAATTAGAAATTGAGGATGTCTCGAGCGAAACGCTAGTTTTTCAGAATTTGTTGAGGATGTCTCGAGCGAAACGCTTGTTTTGTGTGATAGATTGTCTTCTCCTGGGGACCAGAATTCAGAGAATCTCTGAAGTAAAATGCTTGTTTTCACGTGCCCAGGTCTTGAGGATGTCTCGAGCGAGACGCTTGGTTTCACGCCTCCAGGTGGCCCAGACAGATGTCTAACATGAGGTTTTGTTGAGGATGTCTCGAACCAGAGGCTTGTTTTCACGTGTCCAGGTCGCCCAGGCGGATGTCTAGCATGAGCATTTGTTGAGGATGTCTCGAGCGAGACGCTTGTTTGCACGTGTCCAGGTTGCCCAGGCGGATGTCTAGCATGAGGATGTGCTGACAACGTCTTGAGCGAAACGCGTGTTTTCACGTGTCCAGGTCGCCCAGGCACAGCACAGCCCTCGGCACGGTACATCAATATCGATACCCTTAGCATTGCAGCCTGGCATGTTGCCTGGCACGTTCCGCGGAGCGTCCCGTGGCGAGTCCCCCTGGCACGTCGCGCGGTGCACGTCCATTGGCACGTTCCGTAGCGCGTCCCCTTGGCACGTCCCGCGGTGCGTGCCCATGGCACGTCCCCTGGCACGTCGCCTGGCGCGTCCCTTGGGACGTTCCGCGGCGCGTCCTCTTGGCATGTTCCCTCTGTCGATTAGTTCTGGGGCAGCTACCATCTGCTCAGGCAGCTCGAACTTACGCTCCAGATCAGTTCGGTGAGGACTCGGATGCCAGGGAGGACTCGATCCACAACGCTATATAGAGCACAATCGCGGCATGGCACATCGCAGTTCAGCACGGCGTAGCACAGCACAGCCGTCGGCACGGTACATCAAGATCGATACACTCAACTATGCACCTTGGCACGTTCCTTGGCGCGTTCCGTGGCGAGTCACCTGGCACGTCGCGCGGCGCGTCCCCTGGCACGTCCCTCGGCACGTCCATTGGCACGTTCCGTAGCGCGTCCCCTTGGCACGTCCCGCGGTGCGTGCCCATGGCACGTCCCCTGGCACGTCGCCTGGCGCGTCCCTTGGGACGTTCCGCGGCGCGTCCTCCTGGCATGTTCCCTCTGTCGATTAGTTCTGGGGCAGCTACCATCTGCTCAGGCAGCTCGAGCTTACGCTCCAGATCAGTTCGGTGAGGACTCGGATGCCAGGGAGGACTCGATCCACAACGCTATATAGAGCACAATCGCGGCATGGCACATCGCAGTTCAGCACGGCGTAGCACAGCACAGCCCTCGGCACAGTACATTATCATCGATACATTCAGCATTGCATGTGCCCGTCGCCCAATCAGGTGTCTTTGAAATGTTGCAATGCATTACATTTCTGTATTCCTTTCCGGGTTCGTGGGTCGATCATGTTACTGCAGGTCTCCGTGGGGGTGCTCTGGGGCTTTCTTTGAAGCCGTCTCGGGTCCGAAACGAGCGCCCGGAAGCGAAGCGTAGAGAGAGGTGACTTTTGCACGCGCTCCGCTGCCAGGGTGAGAGGGGGGCGCCACCCTGGAAATGTGCGAACATCTCAGGGGACAGCTACAGTGGGGGCCCATGCCAAGAAACACCCTGCTCGCCTGCAGGGGGCCCTGGGCTTCGTGGGCTTCGATGGTTTTGCGACGGACAGCGTGACGCTCCCACGCCAAAAATCCATGGAGGTCCTGGGGTCGCAGGGTTGGGTTTCTTGTGGAAGGTTTCTTGTGGTCGGGCCCCTACTGTACCGAGCGTTCCACCGCGCTCCAACGTGCAGAGTGTGCGTTGGCAGATCAGACGTGCGAATCTGGAGCGGCTCTCTTATACTGCGCCCGTGTTGGCTCCCCCTTCGTGCACGCCATCGGGCGATCTGGGTTCAAGCAAGGTCAACAACACTCTAAGCAGCATGACGGCCGACCTTCCAATGTCGTGGGTCCCACAGACAGACGTAATTAGTGTCGTCAGCTCCGACATGCGTCTGCTCACGTTCGGTGAGAATCGCGCTTGTTATGCACTGTCTCCTCATGTGGGTGCACAGTCTAGTCTGCTCGCTTGCTGTCACAGACTCTTGCCAGTGGCTTCCCTGCCTTCAGTGTGGCCACAGCAGTTTGGCCGGGTTGAGCAGCGAAGCCGCACTCGACGCCTTTCCTCAGCGACTCCGCCGGATGGCTCGATGCTCGACCGCCTCGCTGCTCAGTCCTGCGCGCGCCCTCGCGCCCAGAGCGGCGGGAGAGCGCCACGGTGTCAGGCGGTCTCTTCTCCGGTGTTTTTTTTCCCGGAAAGGGCTTGGGCCCAGGGTTCTCTTTTAGCCGTTTACCCCCGGATCTGACGGGTCAAGCGCCGGCGAAATTATTTGCGATAAATAACGAGGTAAAGTGCTGATTTTTTTTGAAAAAGTGCGTTTTGTGCGTGCCCGCTCGAGGAAAGTTCGCCCCCCATCTCGGATCCTCGATAAATAACGGGGTCCGCAGACCCCCGCTTTCCCTCGTAAAAAAGAGGGTGCGGAGCGTTTTTCGCAGAATCCTCGAAAAATAACGGGGTCTGGAGCCCCGACCGCGACTCGGAAAAGCGCCCCGCGCGCAGGAATTCCGAGGATGTCTCGCGCGTGCCGCGTCCCGCGCGCAGGAATTTCGAGGATGTCTCGACTAATTCGCTTGTTTTGTCAGGATTTCTTAGAACTTTGGCAGGATGTCTCGAGCGAAACGCTTATTTTACATAGTTTGTGGAGGATGTCTCGAGCGAAACGCTGGTTTCCGCAAAATTTGGAGATGTCTCGAGCGGGGGGCCAGAATTCAGAGGATGTCTCAGGCGAAATGCTTGTTTTCGTGTCCCGCTCGCGGGAATTCCAAGGATGTCTCGCGCGGGCCGCGTCCCGCGCGCAGGAATTTCGAGGATGTCTCGACTAATTCGTTTGTTTTGTCAGGATTTCTTAGAATTTTGACCGGATGTCTCGAGCGAAACGCTTGTTTTTCATAATTTGCGCGCAGGAATTCCGAGGATGTCTCGCGCGTGCCGCGTCCCGCGCGCAGGAATTTCGAGGATGTCTCGACTAATTTGCTTGTTTTGTCAGGATTTCTTAGAACTTTGGCAGGATGTCTCGAGCGAAACGCTTATTTTACATAGTTTGTGGAGGATGTCTCGAGCGAAACGCTGGTTTCCGCAAAATTTGGAGATGTCTCGAGCGGGGGGCCAGAATTCAGAGGATGTCTCAGGCGAAATGCTTGTTTTCGTGTCCCGCTCGCGGGAATTCCAAGGATGTCTCGCGCGGGCCGCGTCCCGCGCGCAGGAATTTTGAGGATGTCTCGACTAATTCGTTTGTTTTGTCAGGATTTCTTAGAATTTTGACCGGATGTCTCGAGCGAAACGCTTGTTTTTCCCGGAAAGGGCTTGGGCCCAGGGTTCTCTTTTAGCCGTTTACCCCCGGATCTGACGGGTCAAGCGCCGGCGAAATTATTTGCGATAAATAACGAGGTAAAGTGCTGATTTTTTTAGAAAAAGTGCGTTTTGTGCGTGCCCGCTCGAGGAAAGTTCGCCCCCCATCTCGGATCCTCGATAAATAACGGGGTCCGCAGACCCCCGCTTTCCCTCGTAAAAAAGAGGGTGCGGAGCGTTTTTCGCAGAATCCTCGAAAAATAACGGGGTCTGGAGCCCCGACCGCGACTCGGAAAAGCGCCCCGCGCGCAGGAATTCCGAGGATGTCTCGCGCGTGCCGCGTCCCGCGCGCAGGAATTTCGAGGATGTCTCGACTAATTCGCTTGTTTTGTCAGGATTTCTTAGAACTTTGGCAGGATGTCTCGAGCGAAACGCTTATTTTACATAGTTTGTGGAGGATGTCTCGAGCGAAACGCTGGTTTTCGCAAAATTTGGAGATGTCTCGAGCGGGGGGCCAGAATTCAGAGGATGTCTCAGGCGAAATGCTTGTTTTCGTGTCCCGCTCGCAGGAATTCCAAGGATGTCTCGCGCGGGCCGCGTCCCGCGCGCAGGAATTTCGAGGATGTCTCGACTAATTCGTTTGTTTTGTCAGGATTTCTTAGAATTTTGACCGGATGTCTCGAGCGAAACGCTGGTTTTTCATAATTTGTTGAGGATGTCTCGAGCGAAACGCTGGTTTCTGCAAACTTGGGGATGTCTCGAGCGGGGGCCTCGTGGGGGGCCAGAATTCAGAGGATGTCTCAGGCGAAATGCTTGTTTTCACGTCCCGCTCGCAGGAATTCGGAAGATGTCTCGCGCGTGCCACGTCCCGCGCGCAGGAATTTTGAGGATGTCCCGTAGCGCGTCCCCTTGGCACGGCCTACGGTGCGACCCATGGCACGTCCCTTGGCACGTCGCCTGGCGCGTCCCTGGGGACGTTTCGCGGCGCGTCCTCCTGGCATGTCCCCCTGTCAATTAGCTCTGGGGCAGCTACTATGTGTTCAGGAAGCTCGAGCTTCAGATCCAGATCAGTTCGGTCGGAAAGGGCGTGGGCCCAGGGTTCTCTTTTAGTTGGTTAACCCCCCGGCCCCCCTGCGACTTGGGCCGGCGAAATTATTTTGCGAGCGGGCACGCACGGAGTAGGGCCGGCGAAATTATTTTTGAGGATGTCTCGAGCGAAACGCTTGTCCATTAGCTGTCCATTAGCTCTGGGGCAGCTACTATGTGTTCAGGCAGCTCGAGCTTAAGATCCAGATCAGTTCGGTCAGGACTCGGATGCAAAGGAGGACTCGATCCACGAGGCTATAGAGCACAGTCGCGCCATGGCACATCGCAATTCAGCACGGCGCAGCACAGCACTGATTTCGGCACGGTACATCAAGGTCGATGCACTCAGCATTGCAACTTGGCACGTTCCTTGGCACGTTCCGTGGGGCGTCCTTTGGCGAGTCCCCCTGGCACGTCGCGTGGCGCGTCCCCTGGCACTTCCGTGGCACATCCACTGGCACGTTCCGTAGCGCGTCCCCGGGGCGCGTCCCGCGGTGCGACCTCATGGCATGTCCCCTGGCACGTCGCCTGGCGCATCCGTTGGGACGTTTCGCGGCGCGTCCTCCTGGCATGTCCCCCTGTCCATTAGCTCTGGGGCAGCCAATATGTGTTCAGGCAGCTCGAGCTTAAGATCCAGATCAGTCGGTCAGGACTCGGATGCAAATGAGGACTCGATCCACGAGGCTATAGAGCACAATCGCGCCATGGCACATCGCAATTCAGCACGGCGCAGCACAGCACAGATTTCGGCACGGTACATCAAGATCGATACACTCAGCATTGCAACTTGGCACGTTCCTTGGCACGTTCCGTGGGGCGTCCTTTGGCGAGTCCCCCTGGCACGTCGCGTCGCGCGTCCCCTGGCACATCCCGTGGCACATCCATTGGCACGTTCCGTAGCGCGTCCCCTTGGCACGTCCCGCGGTGCGACCCCATGGCACGTCCCATGGCACGTCGCTTGGCGCATCCCTTGGGACGTTTCGAGGCGCGTCCTCCTGGCATGTCCCCCTGTCCATTA